ATAGATAGATAGATAGATAGATAGATAGATAGATAGATAGATAGATAGATAGATAGATAGATAGATAGATAGATAGATAGATAGATACTGATAAAGAAAGGAGCTGCAGTCAGTCATAATCACTTAGAATGTTCCAGGCCTTTTAGAGTTAAAACACTTTCTAGATCTCTCATCAATGCTTCTTAAAAGATTTTTGTGAACGTATGTTTATCTGAAACTGTTTTGAATTCATACTTGTGCACCCAATTTTTGTTTTTATAAATCACTAAAGCTGTATATTGTGGAATCATTTTACATACTTCTTCYTTTCAGGGTCTCTGGTGCCAATATCCAGCAGTCACAGTGTGAAGGACACTCAGGACAGGTCACAAGTCCATCGCAGGGACACTTGGACAAATGAGACAAACAACCATTCCCTCTCTCATCCACACTTAGTAGCAATCTTAAAGTTACCCGTCAGCCTAGCATTTATGTTTTTAGTCTGTGGAAGGAATCGGAGAAAACCCACATAAGCATGGAGAGAACATGCAAACTCTACCCAGAAAGGTCAACAACAAGGGTTCAATCCAGTAACCTTCTTGCTGAGAAGCTGCAGCACTGTGCTGCAATATCATTCTGCACTGAACAGAAAAAAGTCAATAAAACCCTTAAATATTWCGACATTCATGTAATTGATGAGTGTAACTTCTTACCAAAGGTATGTTTAGTAAAAATCAAATGCCAAAAAAATCACTTGAACATTTTTTTGTCTTTATCTGAGACAAAATTTTATTTGAAATGATCCTGAGATTTCTGCTCAGTGGTTTTTTTTTTTTCATCTGAATCTCATAAATACAGACTTGATCTGTAAAATTGGTGCAGTGTCACATTTTGCTGACTTTAACTTGGTTTGTGTCAACCCGTGTGGAGCAAGTGCACTGTAAAGTCACATTTCAAATTAAAATGTGGACTGAATTCACCCTTACTTTTGTTTCAGAAATTATAGTTTTGCTTTGTGACTCAGCTCCCCCTTGTAAAAAAAATTAAACAAATAAAAAAAACACCTGCTTTCAATGTGCTTTGTGCCCATTTGAAAGGATTTGGCGCCACCCAGTGGTTGRTTTGACTCACTGCACTCCCAGACACGTTTCACTGCACTGTTRAAACGCCATGAAAGGCAGGAGCGAAATGAGCTGCAGTTACAGAAGCTGTGTGGTATGTTACAAGATGGTATGTCCCCCTGCTTCTTCCTTGTCAAATTACACAGAAAGTGGGGAATAATAGTGTGAGATTTGTGCTCAAACACCCCATAAACACGAGGCCTATCTGAATTTGTTCAAGAACCCAAGAAAAACTGCGAGACTGTGGAGAACGAAAAAAAAAAAAAAGAGAATAGAAAACAGCAGGAAGGCTACCTTTTAAACTAGAATGCTGTCTAAATGTTTGGTGAGGCAATGTACACTGTTGGGACAACTCATAAAAACTGACACCCAAAACCCACCTCCTGCATTGCACACAATCCAGAGCAGCTGACGTAAATGTTTAGGCCTCCCAAATGAGAGGATATTTCCAGTCCTTGAAGCTTTAAACACAGCCTGTATTTCACTGTCAGGAGAGGAGGCAGCGAGTCAACTGAGAATGCGGTGTCTGTTAACTCGCGTGAACACCTGAGACACCGGGGCCTTCTCTGCCACGCTGCTCAGGCCTGGAGCAAGGTTTCACCTTCTGAAGGGACAGCTCAGAGCTTCGGTGGCAGGGGGTCTGTGGAAAACATATGAACAATTAATGTTTTACCTGTTTCAGATAAATATTTGGAGAAATAAAATGTAGTTCTGAATGTATCAGCCAGCTAAATTCTAGTCCAAGAGGGCTCAAGAACAAAAAGGGCTCCATCGTTAGAGATTTCTCAACAGTTTATACAAACCCTGCTCTATAACCCTTTCTGCTGCAGTCAGTTTAGCATTACACAATTTAAAGGCGTAGCATTCTTTAAAGGAATGCATATTGCCTTCCACTCTTCATGTCAGAGTTTTAAAAGATAATTAATTTATTTTGAGAAAGAGACAGAGCTGCAGTTTGGAACAAACCTAAATTACTTGATGTGATTTCATTTGGTGAAATCGTGTGAAATCAGCGCTCAAAGTTCGTGTTGAGGATGACTCAGCTAAGATCACATCTGACCTTATCAGTAATTGTAAACTTGACTGAGTTATAGCAATGTTTGGGTTTGCTAAGATTTGCTGTGGTGGCCATCTTGAATTGAGTTGACCCCAGAATTGGACTAGCTGTGGCTGGTTATTCTTTGGTTACTTGCTGAGAGTTTTTTGAAAATCGGTACAAAGTTTCACAAAATATTTTGCTAACGAACACATGTACACGTAAAAAGCTAAAATATTATTGCCCATTTACTTTTGGTAGTGGTTGATATGTGTTCCAATGGAAATATTGATATTCTGTTAGATGTGCTGCTACTGTTTATACTTGCAAATGGCCACAGACGCTGAATTCGACATAAATAATGGTGGGATGCAAAACTGACGGTTGTGTTGAGGATTACAAAAAGGTGCTCCTATATTTTTTCTTTACTAAAATTATTTTAAGAGGTAGCATTCCACTCTGTTTTTGCTCAGACTAGCCATTAGCTTGTCAGTTTGATCAGGAAAATAATATATTAATTGTTCATGACTTTGTCACAGAACCCCACTTCAAAACTTCTGAGCTATTACTTTATTAAGTTTATCTTGTAATTTTAATCAATTTTATCTAGAATGTGATTAAGTAGCAAATAAGTTCTTGGGCTCGACAAAGCAGAAAAACAATCATCGAACACAGAATACAGGGACATGGTTAGTTTTATTTTCCTTTGAACACATACATAAAGCCACTCAAGCTACATTATTACAAAAAAATACATAAACCCAATGACAGAACTGAATAGATTGTCACTTTAAAACACTTACAGTACATTCTCAATAGGATTAGCTTATGTCTTCTGTTGGGATTTCACAGCAATCCCAACTTCCACAACTGAAAAAAAAAACAATAATAAAACAACAAAAGCCTGAAAAGCCTTGCTTATAATAGTCCTTAAATATTTTGTAGAAGATGAAATAAAAAAGACGTGACTTTAAGCATGTAAGGAAAAGAAAAACTGAGGACTGAGCCACAAAATGTGAGTTTTATTTGCTTTTCGCACAGAGCCCACCTCAGCATGGAGTGTAATGGGCTCACATGCTGTGCTTCTTCAGCTTGAAGCATGTGACTGCCCTGAAATGGTCAAGAGAAGAAGAGTAAGAGGAGAAGTTAAGACCGTGTCCCTCTCCCTCTTTGCTTTCTTCCTCTTTGCCTCCCTGTGTTTGCCTGCTTCCTGGCAGCGGCCCAGAGGAATTCTCTGGTGGCCTCAGTAAATGTAACATTTAGAAATAACAACACCAGGGCCCCTGTGTGCAGACCTAACACATTTCCTGGGTCCTTGCTCTGCCTGCCTGTGGCTCTAAAAAGGGGTAAAATAACAGGCCTTCGTGTCTGGCCCCGAAGACCAGAGAGGAATAAGGGCTAATTTAGAGACAGCCAGAGATCTGGAAGGTTTCTTTCAAGCCTGTTTCCTGCCCTCTGGGATGCCAGYGCAGGACAGCATGGCTCAAGTACAGAAGGGGTTAGTGAGGGGGGGTGAGGCTCAACCTGGCCCTAAAGGAGCCATGTGGCGATGCAAGACCTGTCACTGATAAGGAAACCAGGTTGCCCAAATGAAACATAGCCTCTAATTAAAGGGCAGCTCTTCTCTTAAAGGAACATTCTGCTCATTTTTGGAGTGTTGTTCAGTCAAAAAAAGTCATCAGCAGTTTGCATCTGTTCAGCCGTGACATCAGTCACAAACAGTGGCGGGTCCAGGATTTTTCTGAGTAAGGGGCCATCAAGGGGCCACAATATTCGTAGAGGGGCCAAGTATTTGTTCAGCATCCTTGCACACAAATCGCTGATTTTGGTAAGGTGTATACATTTAAACAGTCACACATTTAAACACTTGTTATGAAATTTTAAATCAGCTTGCACTGTAAATTCTCCTTACCAATTGTACATGCATTTTACAATACATAGATGAAATACTCTCAAACACACAACATCTGAGATAATCCAGCCAACATTTGTGAGTTAAAATACTTTTTCTACATGATTTTTCAAATTTTAAGAAAAGAAAAATGCTTCTGTCTGCTTGATTCATGCTGGAGTTTTCTATTTGGCTCATTAGCGCCTCTAGTGTTTAGACACGGAACTGCGCCCAGCATCATCACTCGTGGGCAAAGGACAGATGAGTGACAGGACAGGGGCACTTCAAGGGGGGCAATCAAATTGCAGCAGGGGCCAATGCCCCTGTGGCCCCGCCCAAGGGTATGGCTATAAGAGCCAAAGTTATCGTCCAGGTTAGGCTAGCCAAATGAAGGGCCACTTTTGATTGATTCATTTTAATGATTTCTTAGAGTTATGTATAACTAACTGTTTAAAAAAACTCCCACATTATCTAATATTAATTGGCATCTACATGCAGTATATTATAAATGGCATATACTATAATCTATAGATCTGTGTAGTGACGTATGGGCATTGTTTTGTTGCAAAAGCAGCACCAAACTGTATGATTTTGAGTTACATAGCATTATGTTACTCCAATATGTCCATTTTATGAAAAAGTTGTTTTAAAGGCCTCAAAAATGCAGGGGAAAAACAGGACTACATTTGGTTAGCCTCCTGTTGAGTCATTAGCCATTAGCCTTGCTTTTAGCCTAGCCTGGACAAAGACTCCTGCTCCCTTCTTCACACAGATAAGGTACTAACGATCAATAACTGCAGTATTTGACTGAATGTCTCTTCAAAAATGACCAGACTATCTGCTTTATTTGTATCTCTGTCTCCAGCTAAAGGCAGTTCAACACAAACTGACAATCATCCAAAGTGCAAAAATCGAAGACTCTTGTGGCTCATCAGGAAAAATAAAAATAGCTTAACGATAAACAAATAGGTCACAGAGAAGCGGTCACTGTGGACATTACCGAGATTAGGCACCTTAATGATTTAACATTTGAAGCTGATCATCCTCTTTTGGCTGATGTCAATGTTGACTAAAAGAGAATCTTTGTGCTCTAGAGTTTCAAAATCGATAATACTTTGAACTAAAAGGTCTGGTTTCTTAGTCCATTTTTTGTTGCCAATCAAAAAGCAATGCCGAACATCATCATCACCAGTTTTAAGCGCTCACAGAAGATTTATCATCGCTTTTATTCGTAAAAGACCTGCATTTTGTCTTGGTTTTACATTTGCATCCTCTTTTAGGGTGGACGTCCTCCTTAAGAATGCACAAGTTTGTCACGCGCTAAAACCTCATATGTGCCAGAACTGGACAAAAACTTGTATTTAATCATCAAGTATCTATAGCTATAACGCACATTCACACTTTGAAACAGCTAATGGTGTATATTACATATCTACAGACCGGTGTGTGACGGTGCAACACTGTGAAGAGAACAACAGATAGCACACCATTTACTTTGTCGTCAATAGCATATCAGTATTGCATATTGTAACTATATTTATACATGATCATATAAATATAGATAAGTATATTTCTATGTACAGTTTGAAATTTTTAACATTGCATAAAGAATAAAATAAATAATACAAATATAATCAGATCTTAGAGAAAGTAATGACTTGCTATATTAGAGCCAAAATAGTCCTAACAGCTGAAATAATCATGATAACATTTGTTATTAAAAAAAATGTGGCCTAAAGTCTACACCACAATTACCCTGCAAGTTTACGGGACTGCTGGAATGACTGGAGAGGAGGAGGAAGACAGGAAAAGTCGGGGCTTGTTTCCTTCTGCTCAGTCTGTCGAGGAGTTTGTGTGGGTGTGTGTGTCTGCGTGTGTGTGTGACTGTGTGTATAAATCTGCAACGGGGGCTTTGAAATGTTTGACGGGGTTGAAAGGGGTCAATAGGTCCCTCGAGCCTTCACCTCCGGATGTCGGTGGCCTTGGGGTCGTCCTGCTCGGCCACCGCTCCGGTTTCTGGGCCGTGGCGCCGAGGCCCCTGGCCGCCGCGGCTGCGCGGGTGAAGGCCGAACGCCGCCTTGCCGGCTTTGTCCTTGTCGCCCTGCCGCGGGGGGCGGGGGTGGTGCTCCGGCTCGGGGTGGGGGGGCGAGGCGTGGCGGTGGTGCTGCTCCACGACGGCGCTGGCGGGAGACGGGACGAGGGAGGAGCAGAGGCTCAGGCTGTCGCACAGGGCCCCCCAGTTCTGCGCGCACTGGAGCCGCACGCTCCGGGTCAGCGCCTCCTTCACTTCCTCCCCGCAGCTGAGGAGAATGTTCACCAGCTCCACGTAAGGACTGGGCACACACACAGAGAGAGAGTCAAACATGTGATTCAGCATTTGGAAGCAAAATGCACCATTCATCTGTTAAATTTGAAGAGGAATGAAAGGAATGGTGCTAATAAATAAAAAGAGCTGGTTGGACATTTCCAGGAAGAGCTGAATAAAGAGAGGGAACAAGCCTGTGACAGATGAGCAGTAACTTACCCTTTAGGGAAGAGATCCTGGAAATGGATCATCTCCACCATGACGGCCACATTCTCCTTAGCAGCCGAGCACAGGTTGTGTTTGATGTAGCACTCTCTCTGGAGCTGGAACACCATCTCCTTTATGGACATGCACTTTCTGCTGATGCAGCTGAACTTGTGCCGTAGACCGTGCGCCATGCACTTCAGGGCATCCTTGATGAAGGACTTCCCCTGTATGCGCACACAGGGACAAAGTCACGGAAGAGTCCTTGGACCAGTTTTATTTTTCCTCAATCTTTAACGTTTATCATGCACAATACTCCCACTGTATTGAGACAGTCCCCCCCCACCCCAACTGTCACGGAAGACAGGCAGTTATGCAATTGCCTGTGTCTGTATAAGTGTTCTGAACCACTTGACCAGTTGTTTTACGATACTTTCAGAAAGCAATCAATGGATGTACATGAAATGGTGAGAACTCTGTGAGTTTTACAGATATGGAGCTACGATTAATTGTGGTAGTAGCTGAGAGTCATCCCTCATATATGCTCCAAGATCTAACAGATCCCACTAAAACTTTCTTCAAATCGTGGGTTTTCGCTCCCTTAAGGGATCCACGTTTCATTTATGTTTGTGAAGCCATATTTTTGTACTTGCTTGAGACTTTAATCCAGGGTACAGTCTAATCCAGGGTATAGTCTAATCCAGGGTAAAGGATTGTGGAATGGTCTGGAGGATGATCTTAAAAATGCCAGCTCTATGTATATATTTAGGAGACAGATAAAAAGCTAGTTTGTTAAAGGTACATGGAAAAGTAAAATGTGAAGTATTGTTTTGTAAATTATGTTTTGTTTGAATATATTCTGGGGATAAAAGGGGCAGACATTGTAAGATTTATTCTTCTTCTGCTACCTTTCATTTTATTTTGATTTTTGATTTGTGTATTTTCTTTGTTTTTTATTGTATATAGTTATTTTTTAATGAAATGAATACATTTTTTATTGAAAATTGAAAAAGAATTATTGATGGAGTGGGCCATCTTTTTGTCACAGAGGATCTTTGTGAGTCTCTCTATGGGTCTCATCTGATTGGCCGTTTATGTGGGCCGGTGTGTGGGACTGTTGGCTGCTGGTTGGTTCCCTCTGAACATCCRGCTGTTTAAAAGTTCAGGGATTCCTGGTGGTGGTTTTACAGAGCTGCAGCTGGGCCTGCTGGCACCCACACTTTTGTGCTATAAATTTGGGAATATCTTTATTTATTTTCTTAAAAAAAAACAATAATATAAAAAGAAAGCATTACTGTAATTAGATCACAGAAGCTGCCATTTTTATTAATGTATAAATTGCTTCTGTGTGTGTTCATTTGTCTGTTAACAAAATATCTCATGAACTAGTAGATAGATTTRAATGAACTACTCAGAGTAAACTTGATTCAAGGTGGCTTCAACAGCTAATCAACCCAAACTGGAGCCACTTTTACACATTTTAGCAAGAACTTGGTGTGTTGGCATCTAAAGATCACCCTCGAGATATCCTTTAAGTGCTACGGATTGCACAAGATATCTATTTTAAAAATTAGCAATAACTATTGGGAACAGCCTTTTCTGTTTGTTAGCAAAATATCTCGCAAGTCATTGAACYGATATAAGTAAAACGACCCAGTTGCAAACACTAGGTGCACACCTACAACTTGTCAACTTTTGGAGTTCACCTGATTCAAAACAGGATTAATCGCTGCAAGATGACAAAAAACGATGGCTGTAACTCTGTGGGTTTTACAGACATTCAGGTAATGTTTGTTGTGGTAGTAGCTGAGGGTTGTCAACACTAGGATGGCGGAATCGGTGCAAAACAGTATTTTCAGGATTTGACCACAATTGGGGGAAAAAATGTTGTTGTTTTTTTCAAGAAATGCTACCTTATTCCATTTCCCCCTGATGTGTCAGTTTAAGCAGTCAGGTTTAGTGGAGTCTTTTTGTCTTTGTTTCGTTTGTTCTTTTAACTGAAGTCAGCTGTCACTATGGTTTGGGGACAGACTCCTGCCTTTTGGGACCAGCATGGGACATTTTTGTTTGTTTTTTTGGACGTCACACTCTCGGGGTAGCTTTGGTGCTGTCCAGATGCTTGCACCTGTTTCGGCAGTTCTTTTTGAGTGGATATTGAAAACGGAAGTCTGCGGTGAAAAGTCAAAAGTCAGCTGGGTTTCAACTTCTTTGAATGGAAAAGCAAAGCCAGCTGGCTCAGCGCCATCAAAAGGGGGGGGGGGGGGAAAGATGTGAATTGACAAGTGCGTTAAAGCTGAAGCAGACAGCTTCCGAAGGTTTGGAAGCGCCACACGATTCCTTGCTTCGTACCTGAGAGTCGAATTTGCCAGCGTTGTGCAGGAACGTCAGGCAGATTTCCTGCAGCCCTCGGATCTCGCAGGAGTTGTTCTCAAAGCACTCAAACACGCCACAGCCGACATCCCCAGCGCTCGCCAGGCAGTGCTGGATATCAGCTGAGGAAAAAAGAGGGGAAACAAAGAGCAGGTTAGAGGAGGGACCTTATCATCTGCTCACAGCAGAGACGACGGTTTGGTATAAATATTATACAGCTTGAAGGCACGGCTCCACGTCGACTCTGCGAGAGACAAAGACACAGAGAGAGAAAAAAACGGATGCAGATGAACTGCAGGGTGGGAGAGAGAAAGAGAGAGAAAAAACTATTTTTTCCCCCCCCAGGTTGGGGGGTTTCTGCAGAGGTGGTGGGCGATACACACTGTGTCATTCTGCACCACAGTCATCTGCACTGCCTGGCTCTGAGATGAGATGGTGCATTGCAGATACAGGCTTTACCACCACAAAACACAGCCGTTTTCCATTCTTTCTTTTGCAAAAGCGCAATCAACAAGTCTCTCCGATGTCAAAAAGTTGCATTCTGAAAATGGTGAGTGGAATGGGGTGAGGGTGGGGGGGCAAGGGGGTGCCATATTCTGTAACTAACATATGATAATGTCCAGCCCCGAGGGGGCAGTTTTCACATGACTGTAACCACAAACACAAAAACTATGGATTAAATCTGCACCCTAAGCAGAACATGTTTCAGTYAGGGGGTGCCGTGAAGCATGTTTGAAATGACAGGACCCTAAACACCCATTTGAGGTATATCATAATACCATATAGGCCACCAGCGAAATGCACACTGGCACTTCTTCCTTATCTAAATATGGACATAAAACATATGCTGTTTATTTTAGACAGACACTGTCTATAAAACGGCAAATTATAATGCTAATTTATCCACACGTTTTTTTTTTTTTGTGGGTTTGAAGCAGCTGCAAAATTTTGTTTGCATTTTGTATCGACTTCCATAACTTAGTAACACCAAAAATTTGGAATTTATGCAGAATATTAAAATTGACTTTCTTTTCCTTTTTTGATTTCTCCCCTCCYTCAAATCATGCTTAGCCTCTGGCAACTGGAGGAGTGCTGCAGCACCCTCAGCACCCCAACGTCCTAGAGCTATAAGATCACAAATTATATGGGAGGGGAAAAATGAAAAAATGAAAAAATATCTGTTTGTTTTTAATCCCTTAACATGCAGACAGCTGCAGAACAACTGGTTTGGAGAATTGGAGGACATTATTGTTTCTTTTGGACGTGCGTAAAATGAGTATTGAGCAATAATTATTAGAAGACTCGTGCTTTATTTGGGGGGGGGGGTGCAGAAGCAGAGGAGGAGGGTATGGGACGATTTGAACTTTAGTGCGCAGGAAAAGTGAGCCGCTGTCAGCAGTGCTTGTTTTGGCATCGCGGGAATGTGCTTGGATTGTACGAGCTCTGGCCGCAGCGCGCATTGGATTACACAGTGGTGTTACCAGGAGTCTGCGCTGCTGCTGCTGCCGCGAGACCTGCAGGAGTTTCACCCCCCATTTCTTTTGAATTGATATGATTGATTGGTCGATTGATTTTTTTTTCCAGCACGGAAGAAGAATACGATACATGTTTGGACATTCTGCATGGTTTGTCTCATTCAAACACAGGCTTAACGGAAAAAGAGGTCTGTGCGCTCTGGTGCGGTTCTTGCGCGTTTTTTTTTTTTTTTTTTTTTTGCGCAAGCACACCTGTGTTTTCTGAGGCATTAACAATGCTAACATTAACTGTCCAAAGATAAACACAGTCATATTTTATTCAACCAAAATCCAGCACTGACTGCAAAGAAACACGAACCAAAGAAAAAAGGAAAAAAAAATATTTTCTTCAGGTAACTGAGCAGGTACCAGGCGCGCACGCGTTTCCCCCTTCCCTCTCCTCCTCTCTGGCGCGCGCTCACCTAGATAAATTACCTATTACCTTGTCCCATTCTATTAATAGTTTACTAACATATTGAATGACCGTCTGGGAGTATTTACAAAAGATCGTCTTTCGTGGGAAAGCCTCGAGCCCTGCGTCTGAATCTTAGTTCAGATMATCTCACAAATCTCATCCCTCCCCTGGCTTGACAGGAAACGAAAAAAACAAACAAACAAACAAAACAAAACACGTGTTTGAGAGCAAGCAAACAAGAACACCTCCCTTCCCTCCCTCCCCAGTTTTTTTTTATTCTACACACACACACTGACCCTCCGGATCTTACCTGTGTTCTGCAGAGAGAGGCGTCCTTTGTGGCTCGCGGGCTTCTCCGCGGGCAGCTCGAGAAAATCAAAATTATCCGATCCAACGACCCGCTCCAGCACTGACAGAACCAGCAGCGCCGCGGTCAGCTTCACCAACATTGCGTCTCCGGCTGTGCGCCTTTTGAGTCTGGTTCCCAGCAAAGATCCGGCAGTGTGTGTGTGTGTGTGTGTATGTGAGAGAGAGAGAGAGAGAGAGAGAGAGAGAGAGAG